TCTGAGGCTCTTCTTGGCAGAAGTGGTTAGACTGGAGTATCAGTGAATGCAAGCAGAAGCATTTCACAAAAGTCTCCTAATTTTTGACCCTTCCATATCTAATAAGTGCACAAAGTCTGTCATGTAAATTGTGAGCCATAAATCAGGGGATCTATTTTTTCTGTAAGAGCTTCGCCATGCTGTCCATAAAGCAGATGAGAAAAAACAAGTGGAAAAACATGGGCCAGCAGTTGGCATGGTGGTTAAGGCACTGGATTTCACATGACTGACTCTGTGGTTTGAGTCCTGGATCTGGCGGCTTGAAAATCACACTGGGTATGTGTGCTTGAGTGCCCAAATTCCCAAGAGGAGAGTAAAGAAGGGGTTGTGGTATGGCCAGCCTCCCAGGGAGGATGATTTCACACACACACACCCGGTGAGTGCATGTGCCCTGTAAAAAAAATCTTTAAAAAAAAAAAAAAAAGAAAAAAGAAAGAAGTGCTGACCCTGGGAGAGGCTGGTTTGTAGTCCTCCGGGTGTTAGGCAAATCGGAAAGGCAGTCAGCACCATGGACAGCTACCCGCTCCCATCGTTCTGCATAGACTTTGCAATCCAAATTTGGCAAGGAGCTCTCAGGCAAATGAAATTTCTTGAAACATCCTATAAAGCCATAATGTTCTCAAATCACCAGCAGGTCTCTCCCCCTGGGAGGAGAGCTACACTTGCTGACACATTTAGCAAACTGCTGTGAAAAATGTAATCTGACCAAGAAGGAAGTCCATTTCTTGGTTCTTTTGTAACAAGGGCAGAGTCCACGTGCCTGAGCGTCTGTGTCAGGTGGAAGAGCAGGGTGCCTGCAGACACGGGCTCTGCCAGCCTTTTCATTCTCTTGCTACTGTAGGAGCACCCCGTCACCTCAGACACACGAAGGCTGGCTCCCTGCACGAGGCAGACACCCCACTGGAGTGCTGCTTGGGAGATAATAAGCCTCTTTTGGATCTTCCCAATGATTAAGAGTTCTGTGCCACTGCTCAGGGAAACACAATTAGGACACGTCTTTAATACCAACTAATGACTCTGCAAATGAAGTCTGGTTTCCACAATGAGTGTTTGCTCATTTCTCTGCTTGATGTAATACTTGTGAGGGTCACGTGCCAGCGACTTGGGAGGCATCCCTTTCTCATTGACTTGTATATAAAGCAGATCCCAGGCACAGAAATCCACCGGTGCTGCTAAGCGAGAGCCAAGGCATTGGAGGTTCCTTATTGCTTAGAGTCAGGAAGTCATGCAGGAAAAGGGATCAGGGTCAGGGAAGGAAGGGGTTACACTGGACCCAGGAGTTACCCCAAAATAGAGGAGATGGGTTCCTAAATCCAATTCAGGTAGGGTGTCTATCACACTGTAATGAGTGAGCACCTACACTGAGAGTCGGAGACCTGGGTTCCAGCCTGTGTTCAGTTGCTGAGAAGCCCTGGGTCCTTGAGTCCTTGGAAAAATCATGCCTGTCAATCATTTCCTGAAATTGCCTCTAGGCTTTGAACACTCTATTCCCTTCGCTAGATTTCTTCCCCGCTCCTTGGTGATTTGTCTTGAGTCTAAGTTTCCTCCCCTTTGCCACCAGGCAAAACCTTATACATCTTTCAAGGCCCTCATCAAATGCCCCCTCTTCTGTAGAGCGTCCCCCAAGACTATTTGACTTAGAACTTTTGCTCTCTGGGGCTCAATTTCTATAAGTGTAAAATGGAAATATTAGCAAGGAAGGTGCTTCCAAGGTGGCATTTAATGCGTGACCTTTGTTGACTCTGGATTTTGGCTCATGGCTGGAATATATGGTGTCCCATTCACCTAGAATCCCCTTCTAATGAGGTTCCATGCAACTGCTGTTTCCTTGGCTCCTGCAGACAGAGTCTCTGAGATCCTGTGTACATATTCCATATGGTTGAACCAACACACAGATATCACCCCAGTAGATGCTGTAGTCTGTCCCTCCAGTAGATACTGAGCTCCTGAAGACAGGGACTGTCACTGTTCCCCACAGAGTCCCTACATACCTGGACCACACGGGAGCTCCTCAAGCATTCTGGCTCAATGGATGGCCTCCATGTGCTCTCTTCATGTCGTGTTGCCAACTGGGAGCTCACCAGGAACCCCGAACAACACAACATCTGCCACATCTGTTTCCAAGCTGCCTCCGTTCTAGTCTCAGCCAGAGGTTAACAGAGCTTAGATCCTTTTTCAGTGTCTCCAGCTGAAGGTACCCGAGCTTCAGACTTTGTACAATGATGATCCAGAGTGACTGGAATGGAGCACTTAGAGAACCCGCTCTCAGTAGGAATGGCTGTTTCCCCACTTGGACGTAACACAAAGATGCTTCTCTAGATGGTGCAATTACCCAGAGAAATTCTGCCACCACAGGATGGGCAAGCTGAGGAGCACGGCAGCTTTTATGTCAGCCTCAGGGGCTGTTCCCCACTGACAACCAGTCCTCCCTGACAATATCTTACTGTAACAAATTCCAGGGGTCTTTGTCAGATAAGGCTTGTATATTTATTTCAGTTGATTGGAAAGGTTTTGATGGTCCATGAAAATGTTATTCTAACAAGTGATCGTGTGTGCGTGCGTGTGTGTGTGTGTGTGTGTGCAAAAGAGAAAGAGAGAGAATGTCTAGATTTTCCAGCCAATTTGAACATTAACTGGGAAGAGATCTGAGACTGACTAATGACATGCACAGCCTAGTTCTCGCCTGTCCAATGGGACATTTTGGTGGCAGCAGCTTTCCCTCTAAATACACCAGAATTCAAGGCCCTATCTTTAGATGGTCAAAGTGTCACCCTCAAAGCAACATAAATACTGGCATGAAAGGGATCAGTGGTGAAGATGATATACCTGCCACCAAGTTAAAAATCCATTACAATGGGTTGGCTCCATGGCTCAGCAGAACTGTGCTACTCAAGAGAACTCAGATCCTTCACGGTGACCACGGCTTGAATCCCCAGCCCAGGCAGCAGGAAAACACACCAGGTGAGGCCACAAGTGCCCGGGTTGTGGGCTTCTATGATGGGCTAAGGGAGAGGAACCATGATGTGACCAGACTCCCTGGAGGGTGCCCACACATGCACACACTCTATCATGAATAAAGAAAAGAATAGTTGTTGTTGCTAATTCATTATGCTTACAGCCAAACCAGAAACCTACTATGTGAACATTCTCCAGCCTGGATTTCACATACTACCTCTGCCCTCTGCCAGCCAGACCTCCAGTCCTAAACTGAGGTGACCACGAGAAGTCCACCTGGAGAAACCAGCCAGCATGCAGACTGGCAGCAGATCAACCCCAGGGCAGAGCAAAACATCAACAGAGCTTCAAAACTATGGGATTTGAAATACTAAAGATGTTATCACACAGACCAAAACAATGAAGGTTTTAAACAATGACATTCATGCAGAAGAGACCTTTCTCTGCATGTAGACGCATATTAGCTTTCTGACAAATCCACTTGCATGGGTGGGACTGCATTCCAGGTGACATCTACTGAGATCTAAGGCCTTATTATTCAAAGTGTAGTCTGTGGACCACAACCTGGCCTCACCTAGGAGTGATTTAGAAATGTAGAATCTTGCCAGACACGCTGAATCAGAATCTGCATTTAGTAAGGGCCCCTGGGCCCTCAGGCTCAGACAAGCTGGGGAAGCACTGACCAAGGGGTGAGGGAAGTGGTTGTGAGTTTCTATTCTTGCCTCTGGAAAGCTCTGCTTTCCCTCTTTCATGAGGCCCATTAGCTCTATCTGGGTCTAAAGGTCACCTGGAATTAGACTGCTTAACCCTCAGCAGCTTTGCTTACATTTGTGAAGCCTCAGCTTCCTTATTGTAAGTTGGTAATGGCCCAGAAGGATTCTAGGGAATGGGACCAGCAGTTGGCGTAATGGCTATGTCGCTGAACTCCCAGGTAGTTGACCATGGTTCGAGTCTTAGATCCGGTGGCTTAAACTAATTCTGGGCATGTGTGTGTGCCCAAGATCCCTAGAGAAGAATGAAGGAGAAGGGATTGCGGCATGGCCATCCCCCCACCCCAACCCCAGGGGGGGTGGTTGACTTCTCGCTTTCTGTCTCTGTCTTTCTGGCGAGTACATGCGCCCTGTAAACAAAAACCTCTCCAAATAAATAAATAAATAAATAAAGGATTCTAGGGAAGTGAAATGAGGTCCACAATTGGAATAGCACAGAGCCTGGCACACAGCAGATTGTCCATAAACACTTACTGCTATTGAACATTGCCCTGCTGCTCAGGAAGGGGACAAAGATGGAACAACACCCACAGAAAGCGAGTCAGCTCCTGCCCTCTCCTATTCACCCTGCATTTCCTCAGTTTTGAAGCTGGAGAGTTTTCCTAACCCATCTCAGATCAGAAGCACCGACCAGCAAGGACAAATTCATTCCCTCTCTGAGAGCAGTAAAGGCTCTGGAGTTGGTACAAATGCCCCACTGCTTATGAGCTCTGTGACATTGAGATGTAGTTTTCTCATCTGTAAAATGGGAACAGGGAAGCTGTAGCCTGTTTCAAGGGTCACTGTGAAGATCAGATGTGCTGTTCTCTACAAGGCACTGAGAAAAAGACAAAGGGTTTGCTGTTATCATCGTCAACGTTGCTGCTGTCGTTGTCATCATTATCACCATCGTTAGAGACAATCTACTCGGAAAATCAGGAAGGACAGACCAGGCTCAAGATCCAACTCAATTTCAGAAGAAGGAAGAAAATAAGGGATGAAGCTGGTACAAGAGGCAACTCAGGAGAGGAGGGAGGGCGGAAGGTATGTGGGAATGTTCAAAGCTGGACCAAAGGGCTGTGCAGGGGGTGGGGCGGGAGGCAAGGCTGCAGCAGGATTGAGGTGGCCTTGGAGGGATAGGGAGCCAGAAGGTGCAAGGTAGACATGCAAGGATGCTGCGGGTGGGGGGTCGGGTGTGGGGAGAGGGCCGTGGCTGAGAGCTGAGCAGCAGAGAGGTGCAGGGGTCAACTCACGTACACCTGCGGGCCGACTCCTGGGCCAGCTGCAGCCGGTAGACGGAGAGGCGGGGGGGGGGGCCGCCCCCGCCGCCCCCCG